CTCCTGATATTCTCTGCCCCTGGCCCTTTCAATTTCTTCTCGCAGTGCTTCTTCGTCTGTATCCTCTCCTGCTCGTTCCAGTCTTCACCGATATGGATCATCACTGTCCTCATCGTCCTCCTCATCGCCCTCGTCCCCGCTGTCCTCTTCCTCGAGGAGGGAACTGACGGGCTGGTCGTAGATGGACGGTACGGGAGGACAAAGGGTCGTCGGGGACCCTTCCGTTGACTTGGGTGCTGGGCCCGTTGTCCCCTCGATCGCTGGTCCGAGCGATGGGGGGACTTCTAAGCCGACTGTAGCGTGTTCCTCCGCGCACTCTCGTCTCCTCCAGTTCTTGGCTATAGCGGCTGAAGAGTCGCTGGAACTCGGGATTAAGGAACTGTCGAGCGACCCTGCTGCCCAGGAATCGCTGGAGAGCCCTGTCGGAGACGTGGGCATTGTCGGGTACTTGGAGCCCATAGGCTCCGAGGACAGAGTCGGCGTCTGATGAGATAGTGTCGGTATGGGTGGGATATTCGAGGTCGACGACTCGGGGTTCTCCCGTCCTTCCACGTCGGATGGCCTCGTCCCAGCTGACGATGCTGGCGGGCCCTGTCCATGGGTCGTCCTCCGAGTCGGGCTCCCTGAAAGGGGATCCGGAATCGGTGCGGAGCTCATACTCCCTAGGGGAAGCTGACCCCATTCTCTCGATCTCCTCTCTCCTTCTCTGTGCTCGTCCTTGTCGGTCATACTCTGCAGCTTCGTACTGCTCTCGGGCTTCCTCCCGGACGTAGTTGGCAAGCTCCTCTTGAGTTCGCCTGATGTCTCTCTCTCGTTCTTGGTTCTGCTGCTGCTGTCTGACCGCTTCATCGTAGTCGAAGGGGACGCTGAGGTCCCACTCCAGGAATATCCTTTGTATAATTCGTCTCATAGCGGCCCTTCCCCTTTCACTGGCGGTTCCAGTCTCGGGCTCACTCCCCACATGGAGGTGTCGATATGGGTCCCCCGCCGCGGAGATGGCGATGTCCGTGTTGTCGTAGTCGGGATGGATGTCCCTTCCCTGTGGGTTATCGACCCCCAGCCTGCTGACGGAGGGGCTGGGGTCGGAGTTGGGCTCGGTGGGGGTTTCGGGGGGGTTCTGGGGGGGGTTGGGACTTTCGCGGGGTCCCGTAGCCATCCGAGCGGCATCAAGGGAGTCCCGAGCACGGTTTCCAATCCCTGAGGGAATTGGGGAGGCGGAATGCTCGGGGGAGACGGCCGGAGTGATGTAGTTGGAGACCTCGGCGGGCTCTTGAGCGACGTTCATCGTCCACGGGTTCCGGAACCCTGTGAGAGCAGGGTGGCGGTCTCCACTGTTTCGTCGAATGGGGTGTCGGGGTCCTTCTTCCTCGTGAAGGCTCCCCGAATCCGGGTTGCTATTCCCGGCTTCTGGTACGGGTCCCCCTTGCGGGAAGAAGGACGTTCTGGCGGAGGGGGGGATGTCATGGAAAGGGAGGTTGGGGGTTACATTTCGTAGAATGCGTTGTATTTGCTGAAATGCCTGATAGTGCCTGACTATCCAGGCCACTACTGATTGTCGTCCACGGCAGAGGGTGATGATGGCAAGAAGTCCAAGTAAAGTTCCGATGATGGAAGCGATAAGCTCAAAGAAATCGTGATTTAGGTCGGCGGTTGTTACTGGCGGCATTCGGTTTCTCAGCACAATTGGGCTTGAGAAAGGGAAGATGAAAGCTTCGAGCTAATTGTTAGGCCCAAGCGTCACGTGAACGTAAACACGTGATAAACAGGTGTTCCTTCGCACTTCGAGGAATCACCTGAGTCCACTATATGTGTCTTCGTACGGAGTGACTCAAGGTCAGAAGTAGACTCGAGATAGAATGGTATGTATAAACTTTAGCTCGAAGCTGGGGATTACCAGCGAGAGCTATCCTACTTAAATACTACTCGATAGGGCCTAAATATACGACTACCTATTGTGCGTTGCTGTGTCCTTTGTGCCCATTGTACTAGGGCCTCGTTACCATACATAAAAGGTTCGTTGTGCATCGTCGAGCGCCGTCTCTTTGTCGAAGACAATGGTGGATTCTGATGTGCTGACCAAGATCCCCATGGTCCAGTGTCATGACTAAGCACAAAATAGGGGTTAAGGAAAAGGAAAAAATAGTAAAATCATAACAGCCAGAATATGCACACTGAAGAATCTGTTTGTTGGTGTTGACAAGAGCCACAGCTTCTGGGTAGTTTAAAGTGAAGGGGTTTGAGCACAGATTCTTGACAGTATCACCTATCGCTTGATCGAAATCCTTGATCCATCACCTCAAAGCCTTCTTGACTTTGCTGATGAGCATATCTTGAGAGTGGTTCCGACATTCCTTGACAATGTGGCACAGTTCCTCCTTGATGAATCTGGAAAGATTGGCAGCAGCATATTCAGATGTATGCACACTACCATGGCCTGGAATTAATGATTTAGTAAGATAGAGCAAAGGCCACAATCAAAAGGCTTACCATCGAAAACAGCGAGAAATTTCCACCATCTGCCATTGATGAGCCATTCTTGCATGACAAATCAGTCTTTGTTCCTGGCACTGGGAGTTGGCTGGAATGTGACTGAGTGGACACCAGCAGTTATGCTGGAACTACACACACTGACAAACAGCTCTCGCCAATATGTGATGGAACAAATGGACAACAACATGACTGGTGGATGGTCGGTGGCTGAAAAGAAATTTTGCTGAGAGATAGAGGTAAAGTGTTTGAGCCTGTAGATGTCTCAGGTCAGAACATAGTTTATTAAAATGTCAATGGTCATAGCTCATCACAGACTGAGGATCGAAAGCTAATAATGTGACAGAATTGGAGAACAATGGAAACTGAGTGGCAAACTAGTTGAAATAAAATCAGGGTTAGTGCAGAGAAGTCCATTCATTCATGATTGGTCTGACTAAGCTTTATTGTGCACAATCCTGCAATTCAATGGGTCAATCACAACTTCAAGCAAGAGCAGATCCAGTCCACTTCCTTCACTAACAGTGATGCACCAACCGAGGACAAGAACATTGATTGTGGATAGAGCTTTTCCCACATCGGATCAGCAACTGGGTTAGGATGAACTAATTCTGGACCACTCAGTCCAAGTATGAGATATTGAACATGGAAAAAGTTACCTTTGCATTACTTTCTGGTTTAGCAGATGTCCGGAAAGAAAACAGGGTCATTCACAATTCCAGCTACTGCAAGAGATATTCTGTCACTTCTGACCTCAATGATATGCTTGCCTTGCTCCACTCATTACAATGTTTGATGTAGCATTGTTGATCACCTCATGGGATCTTGTGCTAGACTAGCCTTGTGCTCAAAGGTTCGACTCAGAGAAAAGTGACCATTTGAGGGTTATGTCAAGGTCAAAAATGCACATGTTCATCTTATAGTGCAAAAAATGAAATAACCATATCTCAAATACAGGACTGGACCTATGTGCTTGTGAGTATGGTCCCAATGAGCAAGGAGACATGACTGATACTCATACCTTGACACTAAGATAGCCTTGAGGGAAATGATCATGGAGGCCTCATAAAGGCAGGTGGATGTGCTAGAGTTCTAATAGTGAGATCCTGGTGAGTAGGACAATCTTTAGTACAGAGACATCATACTCATTGGAAACAAGGAAAGACATTACTGTGACCAAGTGAGCTGTGATGTAGAGGAGCACAATATAAGACAATTTGGATTCTGCTATGAATTCTCTACAGTCTGTCTGATGCTGATATCAATATGGACAGGAGGACCACTTGCTCAGCAAAAAGGTTGATGAGATCTGGTATTGCATCACATGCAATGAACAAAACCAAAAATAGAATCACTTGATTCTTTATGGGTTGGCTCATTGGGTTTGACAACAACACTAGACCACTCATACCCTCAGCCTTGCTGAGAATACAGATGCAGGTGATATCCATATCCACCATCTTCTCCTGTGCTTTACCCACCATCCCCATCATAGGTCCCAGCTGGATGACATCTCTGATCGTCCTCTTTAGTGTGGTCACCTGTGCTATACTTCTCTCAGTCTATATTTGTTCCTAGAGGGACAGGGGAATACCTTGTAAAATGCGAGATGCCATTGCTAAAAACCATGGTGAGCATGTCAGAATACAATGCATAGTCCCTCAGCACACTGACACTTCACAATTGGTCATCTATGGATCCATCTGTTTGGCTTGATACCTGCCCTCTATCCTGAACGATGGGCCTTCTATTTCACAGGAGTTCCTGGATGATGCATTGTTTCCTGATACTCTTGGTGGTTCTTGTTGACTTGGCTCAGCAAACCACAATACAATTTAGGAAGATCCCAGAGAAATGCAAGGTACTCTGGTGCATACCATTCAGATTGCTTCATGCATCATCAGCTAAGAGTTGTTAGGAAGGGGTCCTGGGGCCATATTGATGAAAAGAAGATGCACCTATGCACTGGCCCTGATGACCAGGAGTTTCCTGTCTAGCAAGAGGTCTTAATGATAGTGACAGTATGGTGCTCAGCCCAATGGAACTGATGAACAATGACACTATGATGCTCCCACCTCACCGATAGGTCTGGAACAATTGGTAACTGCTCCTATGTCGCCATCTTGGTCGCTCGATACCCTGCATGAATATATCGACTGATGAGTGCAGACAATTGGATGATTGGAGCTGGCCACTCCCAGTAAAGCTACAGGTATAACTAAATTTTTTTCCTTCAGCTCTATGTGCAATTAAAACAGGTTCATGTCCGTACTCTTCCAATGCCTTTTTGGAATGAGTCCTGTTGGTAGATATGGGTCTGTTCTTCTAAGGTGTTCATCAAGGAAATCCCTGTTATTCTTGCAAGAAATCATGGGTGTTGGTTGATATGAGAAGAGGAGTTTTTTTTTTTTTTTTGTCCTCAGCATTTGATTAACCACAACAAGTAAGCTAACTACTAAGATGCGGTGGAGGTACAGGGCCTCAAGATCCTCTTTCCCTCTTGTTCCAGTCCCTCCATTCTTCCTTCTGAGTTTCCTGAGTGCTTTGGCATGTAGTGTGGAGTAGAGTAACAGACATGTATGGTATTTTGTGCCCTCATGGTGGGCTAATTAGTTCATTTGATCCTGTAGTTGGCTGAAGCCTGAGGTGTTTTGCAAGCATGTCTTGGGTGCTGGCTGTGCTGGACATGGTCTATGGTGTGGTGGATGCACAGCAGTTATCCATGCTCATCTTCCATGTCACCCTCTTCTTCTTCCCACCATTCTCCTCCTTCTTTCTCTTCTGGCTCTGGAGTGAGCTTCTTGTTTTGTGGTTGTCCCATCCAGGTGAATGCTCCCATGTTCTCCATGAACTTGCTCAGTGCTGTGATTCCTTCCTTGGTGCCAAGGATGTCTGGTAGATAAATAGTCCTTGACACATTCCAGAGGATCCCCTGTTGTTCTTCGTAGAGAGGGCATTCTCACAGGATATGTTCCTGTGTCTGAAACAATTCTCCACAAGGGCAGTCAATATTCTTACTTGGCATGAATTGTGAGTAGTACTCGCCTATATATCCATGGCCTGTTCTGCATTGAAGCACTCTGCCAAATAGCTCTCTTTTTGTGGCAAGGTCTATGAGATGGAGTGTCAGCTTCAGTGATGGTGGAATTCTATTTGCCATCATGTAGCATCTCCATTTAAGGCTAGCCTCTCATGCCTTTCTCCACTCTTTCAGCATTGTTGCCTTTGCCTTCCTTCTAGCGTTGGCCCTTGTTCTACCCATTGCTTCTGTTGTTTTCTCTGCTCCTTTCTTCGCCAGATAGTCTGCTCATTCGTTTCCTACGATGTCTTTGTGGCCTGGACACCATGAGATTTTGACTGTATGCATAGGATCACTGTTGAGGAATTGGCATATATATCAGTGGAACAGTATTGAGAATGCTTGTCCAGTTCTGGGTAAAGGGTCAAATATGGCATTGATGGCTGATGAGTTGTCTGCGAAGAAGTGTAGGTGCTTTACTTCTCCATCTTCCTTTGCATAGTTCATCACTCTTGTTGCTCCAATGGCAAGAGCTGCCATTTCTCTATTGTAGACTTCAGCTTTTCTCCTCAGACCCATACTAAACCCGAATGCCTGTGTCCCATCTCTGAGCCCTATTACTTCTGCCTCTACTTGCCTCTGGCCCTGTATATCCCACTGTGAGCCATCTGTGTATATTAGTAGGTGATCCTGAGATTGTATCTTTTTGATGTCCCTATTGTGTCAGCATGCTGCCTCATCCTTCGATAGGCCATTTGTTCCATTTATGCTCAGTCTTTCCCCATAGTCATGTTTGGTGCATCTCTATGGGGCTGCTAGCTCTGAGAACGGGTGCAGACGTTCATCATTAGGGTCCGTTTTTGTGGCCAGTTGCTGGAGTTGTGTTGTTTTCTTGAGTTCTTTGATCGCTCTAGATTTTTGGTGCAAGAGGAGGGGAGAGAGGCATGAAGGGTCTCTTCCTGCTCTCCATTGGTTGTCAAGACACTGAATGACTGGGTTTTGGGTACTCAGCTTGTTCAGTCTCACTGTGGCTTGTCTTGTACACTGGTCTAGGTGGAGCCAAATTGATAGTATCAATGTTTCAATTTTGACAGCTTCTATTGGTGTGGTGCAGAATGCTGCAGCTACTTTGCATAGCACTCTTCACTGTATCTGTTCCAGTTCCTTTTCATGTGTTTTCTTCCCTGTCCACCATGCTGTTGATGCATATGTTAGGACTGGATGCATACACACTATATAAAGTTGTCAATAGTGTTTCTGTGAGAGGCCACAGACAGTATTCACTAGCATAGATATTCTGCTCACTGCTCTGTCTGCTTTTGTCACCATATTCTTTATGTGTTCATTGAACAGCAGCTTCCTATCAAGGTATACTCCCAACCACTTCACTGTCGCTTTGGCAATGACCTTTCTTGTTATCCTATTATCATCAGTGAATTTGATGTGGAGTGCTGTCTTGTCTCTTTTCCTTCTGGTGTAGTGCATCAACTCTCTCTTGGATACATCGGGAGCTAGGCCGACTCTTCTCATCCACTGGTTTGCTTCTTCATATGCTGTCTTCAATATTGTGGTGTTCTTCTCCAGGCTTTCTGATGAGATATATAGCTTTCCATCATCAACATACATGAATAGGCCCACAGATGTTGTATGCAGGTCTTTATGGTCTTCCCATCTTCGTTGGAACTGTTCAATGAGATCAGCAGAGTAGAACAATGCAAGTATGGGCAATACCAGTGATCCTTGGGGAATTCCATTTTCTACTGGTGCCATCTCTCCTCTTTCCCTGTCCAGGCATACTGCAGCTTCTCTGTTTGATAGGAAGCTTGCTGTCCACTTGACATATTGGAGGGGGATCTGTTTTTGCCTCATCTCTGCTAGAAGTCAGTTGTGGTTGACAAAATCAAAGTATCTTTTTATGTCGAATGTCAATGCTGACGTTGCTATCCTATGGTTCCATGCTGCCTGCACATCATTGATGAAGGATAGTATTGCATCATTTGCAGAGTAGTTCAAGCACCCTCCAAATTGCTGGTCAGGGATCAGTCCTTCCTTTCCTGCAATGAATGTGAGCCTTCTTGCAATTACCTTTTCCAATATTTTTCCAAGGCATTCCAGTAGTGCTATAAGGTGATATGCTCTGGGGTTAGAGTAGTCTGGTTTGTTCGGTTTGCATAATGCCACTACAACTGCCTGATGCTATTGTTTAGAGTGGTATCCCACTGCTAGGCATTGGTGTATTAGGAGGAGTATATCCTCACTCCCAACATCCCATGCCCATTTTATTGCTAGGTAGCTCATCTGGCTGAATCCAGGTGCCATTTTCATGCTGGCTCCTCTGATGGCTTCATCAACTTCTGTCCAAGTGACATGTTCAAATGGCAAGTTGTCTGGTGTTGGGTCTGTTAGGTTTAGTCTCTTGTTGTCTGGTATTGGGGGTGGAGATTGGAATAGCTCCTCTCTGAGTGCTCGTGCCTTGTCTTCAGTGGTTACTGCTGGAGTGGTGCCAGTGCTGTGAGAGATTGGAGGGCTAGAATAGTTATGTACCTCTTTTGACCAGTTTCTGAGGCCCCACATGTCTTTGGTATTCACTTCTTCTACCATTTCTATTGCCTATTTTCCTTTGTAGAATCTTACTAGTTGCTTGAAGTAGTTTCAGGCTTTGGTGATCCTTCTTTTGATTTGTCAATCTCATATGCTGTTGTCCAGCTCATACCTGGCTTGTTCCTGGCATAGCCAGGATATGTTATCTGCCACTTCATCTAGTTGGGGGTTCCACTATGGTCATGCCTTGGGGCTCAGTTTTCTGCAGAGTATTGTCTCCTCTGCTGCTGCTTCTATTGCATCCATTATCACATTTGCTGCATTGTCTAATTCCTCTGTAGATGGTATTCTTGAAGTATCAGCAATTCATTTGACAATGTCATGGTATTTAGCTATTTGGGTTAGGTATTCTTCCTTGAATTCCTCTGGTTCTGCTGCCTTGTAATTGAAGCATGTTGCTGTAATGTTCTTGTTGGGATAGCAATCCCGAGCGAGTACGAGAATGTACTCAAAGATACGATGCCAGTCAGCAGCAGCTGACTTGGATCGTGATCCGGACTTATTTAGTATCTCGTAGAAAGATCTCAAAGTAATACGAAATGTATTTAAGTAGAACGTTTCTCTCTCGAGAGGCTAAT